CATACATGTGTATAATGTTGCTAGGAGTGTGTTGGAAATTTGGTAATTGAGTGTAAGCAGTGAGTTGTGCCTACAGTTTTGCAAAGTTTGTGTTACAAAATTGCAAACTGAGTGCAAAGCAGTGTTTGTGCTTTTAGTTTTGCAAACTCAGTGAGTGGTTTTGCTATAAGTATTAATAGTTTTAGAAATTGTGCTATAAGAATCACAGTTAGGGTTTAAGCAATCAGAAAAAACTGTAACGTGAGTTTGTCGTGTGCTCCCCTTTGTCCTGTCCGCTCTAAATAAACCCCGTTTGATAGTATTCACAGCTCTCTCGCCTGATTCCCCACTCGCCAACACCCAGTCATCACATAAGCATGTAACTCGCTCTTATTTTATGCATAGTATATTTTATTTATGTGTAAAAATCACAGTGTTTGTTCATAATCTGTGTGTTCAGATTCCACATGACTGTCAGTGGACAAACAGGAGGTGACGGGTGTGGAAGGAGACAATGTCAGTGTTCAGTGTCGCTATGGAGACAGTGACAGTCTGAAGCTGTGGTGTAAGATCGGGGGCTCCTGTGTGTCAGAGAGATCTGGGAGTTTGGATGGGAGGCCTGTCCTGATCAGGGATGACAGAGTTAATCACTTTTAGAGTAAAGTCAGACAACTACAACCACAACCAGCACTGAACGTAAGTAACTCATTTAAATTTGGTTGTGAATCAGGGTATTACCAACAAGCAAAGTAACATTAAAGTATCTTTATCATCTTCTGCAGTATGTTCCATGGGTCACACACTATGATGAAATTACCATCTTGTTGGTCATGGTGCAGTAATGTGATGAATAGAATATTAACATGAAAGACATTTAAAGACTGACAATCTGACTATTGAAACATAAAGAGGCCTGAAGCCCTAAGTAAATTTCCTATAGGGGGTTACGCCCCCCCCCCCAGGTCCTCCTGAAGCCCACAGTCACTTCCTCGCTCCTGTCGATGTTTAGCAGCAGACTGTGGGCCTTGCATCACTCCACCAGCTCTCTCCCCCCTGTCTGTACGCAGACTCGTCTCCCCCCTCATGAGGCCGTCATGCTGCTGTCGTCTGCATACTTTATAATGTGGTTAGAGGTGGTCTTGGCGGAGCAGGTGGATGTCAGCAGTGTGAATAGTAAGGGGCGGAGGCAGCGGCCTGGGGGAGTTCCTGCACTCAGACTGACGGGAGCAGAAGTGATGTTTCCTGCCCTGACAGACTGTGGTCTCTGTCAGAAAGTCCAGGGTTCAGTTGCAAAGTTACATTTTCAGCCTAAGATGGGACAGATTTTGTGTTGGTTGTTGTTCATTATTACCATGCTGAAGGTAGCCTTACATAACAGTCTTTATTCTCCAGGCGTGTCAGTGTGGTGTGAAGGGCCAGGGTTATGGCGCCCTCTGCAGGCCGGTTGGGCGGTATGCAGACTGGTATGGATGAAGGAAGACAGGGACGTTTGCTTTGATGTGTCACATGACAAGCCGCTCAAAGCACTTCATTATGATGGAGTGAGAGCTAAGGGTGGATAATCATTAAACACTGGAGCAGCTGTCTTCTTAGGCACCGTATGACTGTGGCAGTTTATAGGCAGTTGGGGATACATGCTTGTCTGAGTGAGGTGTTAAAGATGTCAGTCATGCCATCTGTGAGCTCATGGGCACAGTCCCTAAGAACCCAACCTGGAATATTGTCAGGACCAGCAGTCTTACGTGGGTTCATGTTACACAGAGTGTTACTCACTTCTGCTGTGGACGGTTCTGGTGTCTGTTCATTGGTGGGAGGGGTGCTCTTCTCTGCGTTGTCGTGTGACACATCAAACCAGGCAAAGAGCTAGTTAAGCCTGTCAGGGAGGGAGGTGTCACAATCCATGGTATGTCAGGGGGTGTTGTATTCCTCGAAGGTCTGTATAACATTAAGATTTAATTAATTAATTAATTATTTGATTGATGAATCTGGTAATGCTTTAGTTGACAAGGCAGAAATAATATAGTATACTTTTACTTAAGTATTAATTAACCACAAACTAAGTCTTAGTTACATACTGATCTCATGTTAATTCTGTTAACCTTTGTGAACAAGTACTGAATATCAAGAGAAACACAGATCTCATGTTTGTTCATCATTAATGAATCGTGATGCATCTTTTATCTCAAGAAGCAACTATATTTGTTTATGATTTGTTGGTAATTTGTACTTCGGCAGTAACTGAGTTATTGCTAAGCATATGTGGGCCATCAAGAAAAGTGTTACCATTGATCTTAAACCAGTAGAGGGCAACTCAGTGCACCTGACCCATGAGAGATTAAATGATATTAAATCCTTTATGGCATAAAAATTCTTCATCTCAATGAAAAGAAAACTGAAACATTGTTATTCGGCACTTATATATCTCAGCTCCTCTTGGTGATGCTCTTGGCCCTCTTGTTCCATATAAAAATCTAGGTGTGATCTTTGATAATTCTTCTTAAATTTGAGAAACTGATCGAAGCGTTTGTGAGTTCATGCTTTTTTAAATTGAGACTTTTATCTAAGGTCAGGGTCTTTCTTTCTCATGAGAACTTTGAAAAGCCGTCCATGCCTTTATAACTTCCCGGTTAGATAACTGTAAAAGTCAGTATGTAGGGGTTGACCAGGCCTCTTCACAGTGTTTATAGATTGTGCAGAATGCTGCGTCCTGTTTATTGACTGGTAGCCAAAATCATGAAGACACCTCACCAGTACCCACCTCCCTTCACTGGCTTCCAGTTCAGAATCGAATTGACTTTCATTTTTATTATTGGTTTTAAAATGCTTAAACAGATTGGCACCTTCTTACCAAACTTTTACAAAGTTACAACCCATCCAGAGCACTTAGGTCAACTAACCAGATGGTCCTAGAGGTACCAAGATCGAGAGGCAAACAGAGGGCTGTTCAGGCTTTTTCAGCAGCTGCTCCCTCTCTATAGAACAGCTAACTGTGTCATATCGGAACCGCCCCTCGTTAATCACTTTTAAGTCGTTATTGCAAACTAACTTCTTCACGCTGGTTTATCAACAGAGGCTGGGATGAGACATTTCTCTTCTTCTATTTTATTGTTGTCTTATTTTCCATCGGCTCCTTTACGTGTGCTTGAGCCTACAGTGCATGCATTTTTATTTATATTTCGTAATCAATATTAATGTTTAATTGCGATTGATTTTCTTCATTTTATGATTGTACAGCAGTTTGGTCAGTGCTGCCTATTTTTAATGTGATTTATACATAAATTTGACTTTGACTTTGAATCCCAGGGGGAAATTGCCACATACGTCGTGTTTCCATGGTGGTGTGTAAAAGCACATGGATATTTTTGTGCATAAGCCCTTCTTGCGGCTCTGATGGCCCATGACAAAGCGGCTCTAGCTGTCCTTAGGGCCACAGGGTCACCAGACCTGAAGGTCACGTCCCGTGCATTTAGCCTGCTGTGGACGTCCGCTGTGACCCAGGGCTTCTGATTGGCATCACTGAAGGCATTCCAGTCAACATGACTAAAACAGTCCTGTAGTGCAGAAGTGGTTCCTTCTGACCAAACTCTGACCTGCTTGATAGTGACTTTGGACCGTGTCAGTAATGGTGTGCAGGCTGGTAGGAGCATGGAGGCTCTGTGGTCTGATTGGCCGAGGTGGGGGCTGGGCTTTGCCTTGTAAGCCTCGTGAATGGTTGTGTATCTCACCTCCAGAATGATGTCCCCTCAGCTGAAGTAACAGCAAACCGAAAAGGAATGAATTTATATCTCGATTAATCATAAAGAAATTCTTTAAACTCTCCTATTTATCAGCCCCCAAAAATTACACCTAAATATGTCTTTTTTTAGCATTTAAACACAAAATGAACAGGATAAAACAACAAGAGCATATACTGTACTAAATACATAGAAGCACATTTATCAAAACAGTAATTTGTAAAGTAAGAAAATAGATGTATCCAAACAATATATAAAGTTAACGCCCCCTCGTTAACCCCGTGTGGAATCCCCCTGCGATCAGCTGTTTCTGGTTGTTGTCATCTGTCCTCTGTATTTAGTCCGCGTTTCAGTTTGTTTCCCCAGTCCGGTCATTGTATTGTCCGTCTGCGTTTTACCTGCCTGTAATTAAACCCTGTATTCCAAGACACCCTGACGTCTGCGCCTTTGACTCCATTCCGTCCCCGCTGGGCACGACAATATTATTATAATGAAATGTATTAATGGTTTATTATCAATGATATTAAAATAATTAATAAGAAATCTTTACTTTTAAATGTATTTTATTATATAATAATTACTGTTTGTCACGCCCCGCTCCGTCCGCTCCTGATGTGTGCCACGCCCACCTCGTTACCTCGTGTTCATCCCTGGTTGTGATCACCTGTGTCCTGTTATGTCCGGCTAGTCTTGTGTATTTAGTCCGCGTCTGAGTACGTCTCGTCAGATCCGTCAATGTATTGTCCGTGGATGTCTCTACCCGTCTGTCCTGTGAGCATTAAACCCCGGATTACCCGTCAGTTTGGCTCATTCTCCTTCTTCCCTGCTTGCCTTCTTACCCAATCGTGACACTGTTACTGTCTATCATTGTCTAAATGTATTTTCTGTCTAAATATATGTATTCAGCTAGTGTAAACATGCACAATGCTATCACAGCGAATATGAGGCTGAGACTGAAGCGTTACCCTTTGTTTCTGCTGAGAGACATGCCACGTGACTCATTTCCCTGCGGGTACAAGTTATCTTAGGTTGGCGTTCACGGTTTGACTTCAGAGATTCAGATCGAGTTCTAGGTCATTTTTTTCGAACTGGTTGGTTCGACTTTTAAGAAATTCGAGTTCTAATGAGTTCGAGAACTGAGGTACCACTGTACTCCATTCCTGTGCCCTGTCCTGCCTGGGATAGGCTCCAGGCCCCGCCTTGTGATTGACATGCTGTGTTGCTCTCCTGTGGCCAAATAGTGTGGCGTATGTGCAGGGCACCATGTGAGTGTTTATAGGTTAAATGGGACAGGGTGGATTATACTTCGGAATCAAGCTTACAGCGTAACTACAGCGTAGGCTGATGCCCACTCCAAAAAATATAAGCAGTCATTGTGCCGACATGGACCCCTGTGATTCTGATTGGTCAACTTAGTAAATACGTATTTCCTATGATGTATTTACGATCATTTTCCAGTTGCTGCAAGTAAACATGAAGCAAATCAAAGACAGACTGATCGAGGAGGTCAGATTGAGGGGGGCTAGAGCCTGAACATAGGAATGGTGTGGGGGGAGCCCTCCAGAATGAAAAAGCCACTTGGGGGCATAGTAGTTGATGCACAGAGTGTTACCAGGGTCTTGTCCTTCTGTGCCTGTGGATCAGTCCATTTGAGCATTTCAATGTGGTTGCATGCAGTTCTTTGCTGTAAAAGCTCCTACACATCCAGGCACCATCGACCAGCACTGCTCTGGAAACCCTCACCATCTGTTACTGGTGCTTTTCTATGAGGTAACCTACCACTGTAGCCAGTTACACTGCTGGACACTTTAAAGCAGAGCATTTTGCTCAAGGACACAAGCTCATCCCGCTCTCTGCCCACACAGGACTACAACCATAATCATAAACCTACTGTATTTGCATTATTTACCTTTTGGTTTGAGAAATGTCCTATTTTTGATTACTTTTAAATGACAGGGATTTTTTTAAATCATACTTAGTAACCACAATCCTTTGTCTTGTTTCCACTGCTGTACTTTTCTCAAAAACCTCTATGGTTTTATCACATGATGAAGAAGGTGGGAATAATGATAAACTGAGGTAAGCTTTCAGCAGCATTTACAGTAGTGAGGCATTTACTTGGTCACACAGTAATGGAAACTGTCATTATAATTATGAGAATAAGAATATTTGTTTTTAATTTTTTTTCTTAATTATGATACAGGTATACCTGAGATTGCATCCCATCCAGGGTGAGCCCCTGCCTTGTGGATAGACTGTGCTGCTGGGGATAGACTGCAGGCCTGTTAGTAAGATGGATGGATGGATGTATGGATGGATGGATTTTACAAAACAGTATAACATGTAATCTAATAAATTGGAATGCGCATGACTGGTGCACAAGCACTCATTAGTTGTATAAAGGATCACATGCATGGTGATTTCTTGGCTTAACATAAATGTGCTTTTGCTTCACTATGACAAGAAGTTGCTGTGTGTATTGCTTTATACAGTGAATGCAGACTTGTGTACCAGTTATGTGCTTCCCTGCTAATAATCATACTGAAACTGGTGGTTTAAATTCTCCAGCTAATCTCATGCTCTTTGTTAATAAGAACATAAGAAATTTACAAACGAGAGGGGGCCATTCAGCTCCAGTCCAAGTCCCCCCTCCCTAACAGCCTGTCCCCCTTCCCAGCTGACCTCCTGGGTGCTGCCAAGGTGGCAAACTTGGCGTCAGCTGGTGAGTAGGGGCCCCAGACCACGTTCAGATGGGGACTCGAGGGAAAGGGCTTTGAGTGGCACTTCAGATATCAAGCTTTTCCAGCCACACAGAAACTGGTCTTATGCATTCAAAGTGTCAAGCATGAGTACCGAATGTTAGCTTACCATTTCATATATCCATGACATTATCATGCGCCATTTCTATGAGATTTTAAAAACAAATGTTATTTGCTTCATGTGGGGTTGTTTATAATGTTTTGACTTATTGGTGTATATTGATTTAATACAAATATACTGCAATTTAATCAGTTTTGAGCTGGGTTTAGACACGGATATGGTATTGGTTTTAACAGGGTAAGGTAATTTATATATGAGGTATGTACATCAACTGTTTGGACTGTTTGATTTCTATGCCATAGGACTGTATATTGCATCCGGGGATTTTTGAAAGATAAAGTATCCAAACCTTCTCATGGTGACCTCCAGATTTAACTGTAAAGTCATAAACACCACATGGTTAATACTTGTTGTTTAGTGGAACCAGAAAACATGAATTTTATCAGCTGATACTTTTATTTTTGTAGAGATCACATGACAGTCACAAGACTGAGGAATCATTACCCGCTGATTGCAAAGGAATGAACACAGAGGATATAAAACAAAGGATCCTCCGGCTTAATGTAATGGAGGCTCCCTGGGTCTTTAGATGATGATACCTGTCATTTATTAACGGTGTGATTCAGAAGTAGGAAGCTGGCTTCTAACCAAAAGTCTCCATTAAAAAGCATCATGAATATTTTAAAAGTTTGGTTTTCTAATTACAGTAAGTGCTGTAGTTCTTTGGTTGTAGAATGTTGTATTTTCAATATTTCATTAATGTTTGGTTAAAGGAAAACTAATAAACTGTAAACTGAATCCATTAATATTCACTATTATAAATTAATATTGTCACTTTTGTAGGGATCCCATGACAATGAGGAAACTGAAGCATTGTCCCCCACTGATCCCAATGGACCAAACACAGAGGAGGTAAACAGAGGAACCAGAACTGATTCTCAGGGTTCCTGTGATTTACTCCACTTTGGATCCAAGGACACTGTTACCTGTCAGTTTTTACAGTGTATTTCAAAGTAATAAGGAAGTTAGCTTCTTAATGAAAGTCTGTATGTTGGAGAGTTTGAGTATTTCATTCATACTGTAATTTTTGGGATGTTAATCTTTTTAAATATTTGGTCACATTAAAATAAGTCCTTTAACCAGGTAGGTATAATAAATACCATTACATGGTGGCTACATTACTTGTTTGATGAAAAAAGAATATAAAATGTATCAACTGACACATTTTGCAGGGATCACATGACAATCAGGAGACGGAGGCATCATCACCTGCTGATCACAATGAACCAAACACAGAGGAGGTTTTACTGGGAGAGAAGAACACAGAAGTCTGAATGATCTACAGTATAGTGCTTAATTGTATATTTTTGCCTGCAGTCCCAAGCCCAAGTTTGCCAGGTCATGTTGTATCACCAAGTTACTTGTGTTAGCAGTCATCAGATTATTGATAATCTTTTACAGTTGACTATCTCAAGAGTTGAGGGACTTTGCTGGGTAGCAAACAAAAATTTCTAGGACCAGCTGCACATGCATATAAGCAGATGTTCATCTACAGTCACCTGGGCCCAGTTGTTCAAACAAATTAATCCAGATCAAAGTAATCCAGATTTTGAAATCCCTTGTTTTGCTATCCAGGATTTGGTAATTCATTTTACTTTCATGCCGGTTTTTCAAAGCAACACTGGATTGGATTCTGTATCCAAATACAGAATTTTCAGGATTACCAAATCTGGTTTACTAGTGTATTACAGTTTTTTCTAATTGCTTAAACCCTAACTGTGATTCTTATAGCACAATTTCTAAAACTATTAATACTTATAGCAAAACCACTCACTGAGTTTGCAAAACTAAAAGCACAAACACTGCTTTGCACTCAGTTTGCAATTTTGTAACACACACTTTGCAAAACTGTAGGCACAACTCACTGCTTACACTCAATTACCAAATTTCCAACACACTCCTAGCAAAATTATACACATGTATGGCTATCATTAACACTATTTTGCCAACTGTCTGGCACACTTTCACATGTGAAAACTGTTTTAGAGAATTAGTTCACTTTGCAATCAGCCTAAGCACTATACAGTAAATAAGCCACAGGTAAGCTGTCTATGTGGAGTACAATGGAAGGAGCAGTAAGAGTGAG